TTTTAAGTGGGAATAAGATGGAAGAATTTGTTCTTGATTGCAATCAAATGTGATGAGTTCCTGGCCCCTGGAACCCCAACTGGGATAATTCTGGACCTTAAATTTTGCCAGGCTGCCCCATGGGTGTATTGCAAGTGGTCTGCTTGTCTGTCTCTTCCATTTGGATGAGAGAAAAATTCACAGGAATTGAAAATTAACTTAGGGTTCTTCCTTTATGACTTTTAATCTTCACAAAACTGCAAATTAGATTTTGTTGTCCTGTGTAATAGAACAGGAAAAATGGCTTGTCTTAGATTAGTGAGACACTAAGAGGCAGAGCTAGGATTTGGCTTCTGCTCCTCCTCTGCACAAAAGCCTTCAGAAGAGCCCAGGTTTGAGAACCAGACCCGCGGTGCTCCTGTGGGCACTGAGGGCCTCAGGATTTGCCAACCTGGGAACGTCTATCTGAATTCTGTGCCTTTCCTTGGTCGCCAGGGGTTTGAATGCACTGTTTTGTTTACCTAGAATCCCTGATTTTCTTTTTGTTTTCCGTTTCTATTGAAGAAGACCTACTCGTCTCTCTGCTGCCGATCATGGTACTATATCCCAAAGTCCTCCTCTGTCCCCACTTCCTTTCCAGCACAGTTCAGGGCTTATTTTCTGTCCTGTAGCACCTGTGTTATGGACCTGAGCAGATGACAGTGAGCTCAAGCGTTAGATCTAATCCTCCCTTTTTCTCTGATCGTCTCACGACCTCCTCATCAGGGACCCTGTACAATGTGCCCCAAGGAAACGTATACAGAAAGGAGGATCCCATTTCTTCCTGTGCACGCCAAGCCAGCTTGCTGCAGCTGGGGAGATCAGGTCTTTCTCTAGCCTCCTTTGTTTGACTTTTCCTGGGAAATCCAGAGATTACCATTTCCAGGTGGCAGCCCGTCGCCCAGGGCCACCTACCGGCCGCTCCGGGAAGCGCCCGGCTCTGGCCACGCGATCTCATAGGCAATGCTGCGCCCTGGCGTTGCCTCTGCACGATGCAGGTCGTATCTGGCCTTCAGGACTGACAAGCCGTTTCCAGTGGGTTGCTGGGGTCTAGAGAACGGGCCTTGATTGATTCAGTAGCACCAGAGTTTTTGAGTGGGGAAGTTGTGGGTGGGGCCTAGAAAGGTCCACATCCGGCTGGCTCCGGGATCACTGCCCATGCCTCCAGGAGGATGAGGACACAGGCACAGCCTCCAGCTATGATGTCACTTGATAGCTTGAACTTGACGGTTTCGTTTATAAAATGAACAGAGATGGGCTGAGGATTTAGCTCAGCAGCATACGCGTGCCTGCCTGCCAAGTGTGAGGTCGTGAGTTCGATTCCCGGTACCAAAAAAACAAACAACAAAAAGCCCCCCAAAATGGAGGTGCGCCCTAGAAAATTGGAGAGCCAGCAAAGTATGATGAAAATAAAAATTACCGATTAAACCCAGAGATATCTACTGCTAATCATTTTGATGTAATGCCTTTTATATGTACGCCTGAATTTATTATAAAATTGAGATTATCATGTATCCAGGTCCTTTTTTTGGTAGCGGTTTATATGTCCTGAGTTTCAAAAAAGAAAATGTAGAAAATTAGAAAAGAATAAAGGTCGAGGATATAGTTCAGCAGCATAGTGCCTGAGTTCGAATCCTGATACAAAAAAAAAAAGTTAGAATACTCTAGGTAGAACACACTTTGGAGATCTTAAAATGCTGTACCAAAGTGAGTTATAATCATTCCTACTGATTAGGAAGCTGTGAGGCTCAGGGGGAAGCCCTGGGGAGTTCTGCAGATATGCCATGTGTGGCTCAGCTGTGTGGTGTTAGACATTTAACCCACTTCTCTGAGTGTAACTTCGCTTTAGAATGGTACATTATGGGTTCTTTGAGGACCAAGCAAGGGCCTGTGTGTGTCACTGCTGTTTTGCTCCAGAAGCTTGCGGGTGGTTGCATCCTCCATGTAGAAAGGAACGGTTCTCAAACAATGGCTGAGCGTTGACTGCCATAGTCCTGTCTGTTCTAGGCTCCCAGGGATACTGTTCCCTTTTGTGTCCACAGTGGTGACTTCTCTGTGGCACAGTGGATTCTTTCGCACATTTGGACAGAACTTGAAGACACTTTGCAGATTCCTGGAAGGAGCCGGGGATGGACCCGTGACTTTAGGTAAAGATGAATGGAAGCTGGATGAATGGAAAGAGACAGAACAAAAATCCTTAGCCTTGTATGTTTCTTGCTAACCTACCCTTCAGTATGTTAACATTGACTTCTGATGCTTTCTTGGAATCTGGCAAGAGATAAATACTTAGATTCATATAAAATCGTAAGTTAATCTAAATTGATCCAAAGCCTACTTACCTCTAGGAACACCAATGCCAGAACTTCAAAGCTATGATGTGCAGAGGGATCCCAGGTGATCCTGATGCTTCTAAGTAGACCAGGGTCTGGTTTAAGAATCTGCATTCCTAACAAGCTTCAATGGTGTTGGGCTATTGATCAAAGGTTAGGCCTTAAATAATCACCACTAGACATAACCTTTCTTTAATTTTCAGTAGAATTCTGAGTAAAAAATCAAACAAACACCTGAGTATATTAATAACCTACATTTTTAGGGAGGGCTCGTGGTTGGGCTAGACTTCTAGGTTCCCAGCAGTTTTGAAGTGACCAGTACAGCCTTAAGTGTGTAGAGCCTTACTGATAGCTTCATCTTTCCCTACTGAGTGTGGAGATGGTTAGTCTCATTAACTAAATTAGACAAAGCCTTAATAACTAGATACTCTTACAGGATGAAATCAGGTATTTCACTAGTTTGGTTCAGTATTTTTAGTTAAGTTGTAAGTTATCCCTGAGAAAGATGCCAGGGTTCTGAAATCGTTCATAACAATGATATACTGGCCTTTCCAGTGCCTCTAAAACACCTGGCAGGAAGCCAGTAACTGAATGTTTACTAGGGCAAGACTGTGCTTCAAATAGGATTATCTTTGATCTTTACAAACACTCTACGAGATAGATTCAATTATTTTCTGCCCCATAATCACAACAAGCAAACAAAAAGGAAAAAAAAAATAAAACCTCTGAAACTCACAGTGCTGTAGTTTGATCTGGAATGTCCCCCTAAAATAGAGTTAAGGTGTAGTCCATAGGAGCATGTCCTTGAGGACATGGGCCCCTTTCTCCTCTCTCTGCTTGGCTCTGTCATGTGCTCCCTGCCACGGTCACCCTGCATCCCACCCGAGGCCGGAAAGCCATGACGTTACCTGGACTAGAACCCCCAACAAAACTGTAAACACAACACTCTTCTGATTATTTGAAATATTAATTGAAAGCTAAGTAACACAGAGGCCATGTCATTATCCCCAAAGCATATTACAGCAACAGCTGGATCCAGCTCTGCCTGACCCCCTATACCAATGCTCTTGAATATATGTAAATAATTTGACAGTTATAGTAACAAAACACACAGAAATGAGCAAAAAAGTTAAAAAATCCTCAACCCTTTATTAAGTCTATTAATAAAGCTCTCCCCAGCCTTAATTTAGACTTTAACTACAGCAAATGCTAGTTCTGTTAGACTCTGACAAGCAGACCAATTTAGTGCATCGTCCTGGTGTTAGTCATCACGTTCTGAAGCAGAAACTCATTTCTCCCGTCTCACAATCCTGGCACTATGTTGTTAGGAGGCTGGGCAGTGTGTGACCTCTATGCATGTCTGTGGCTTTATTTTTCATAGTTTCAGCTACCCATGGTTCACCAGGCCAGAAAATGTTACCAGAAATAAACAGATCATGTTTTAAATCACTTTTACTATAGTGTGGTGTTAAAACTGCTCCATTTTATTATTGTTGTTAATATCTTACTGTACCTAATTTATCAATTAAACTATCACAGATGTGTAGGTATAAAAAAGTCTGCAAAGGGTTCAGCACTGTCTGAGGTTTCAAATATTCACTGGGAATCTTGGAATGTATCCCTCTGGGGATGGTGAGTGGTGCAGAGTGCTGAGAGACCTTTGTAGATGAGGTTCAAGAAGGCAGACTAGTAACCCAAAAGAGAAATCTTAATTTTTGCTAAAAGGATGATACAAAAATATCTTTCTTTTAGTACTTACTGATGGTACAGCAAAGTAAATTTAGATGGAAGGTACCATCGCATATAACATGTAAGCTGCTTTGTCTTTTATATACAAATAAAAGAGAGCATTTATTTTCATTTTGAGTTTATTTAAAATTTCATCCACTTGAACTGAAATAATACATTGACTCCAACACTGGCAAGACATCTTATTAATACTGAAATAAAACTGCCAGTCTGTAAATACATTGTAATTCTTTGTATCACGTCAGTAGAAATACTAATAACTACCTTTACAAGATTATTGCACTTTATGTGGTTTTTTTTCTCCAAAAGGTATTCTTAAGGGTTCAGCAAAGATTGCTAATCTTGGTTCATTTGTTCTTTTTTTAAAATAAATCATGATTATAGTTAATATTTCTATAGAAAAGCATTAAGAGTCTGAAGCTTCAATATACAAGTTTAAAAAAACACACTTCTATGATCATTATGCCTCTAATAACTATGCTTTGGTTGTATCTTCCCAGTGTGTGTAAAATTTTGATGAGTTTGCCAATCTTTTTACTGGTCATTAAATTTTCACATTAAGGTCACGTTCACTCTGAAGTAGAGTTACACATTAACTGGGGTAGGGGTAAGGACTGAGAGGAGCTGGATGGATCTGACAGCCTCAAAAACGTTAGCTTTTTACTGAGAGTGCTTGTTAATAAGCACCTTACAGAGGTCAGCCTTGGATTTCAGGCTTTCAACACTTTTTAAAGAGAGCACTGATGGTAACAAAATACATCGAAGGCCAGAAATGTCATGGGGAAGCCATTTCAATTCCAATGGTTTGACAGCAAATCTAAGTGAGAAGATCCTAGCGGTGTCAGGGAAGGCTCAGAGCTTCAGATCCATTAATCCTTTCAGAGAAAAGAGAAACACAGCACACAAGGCACACCAGTTTTTCTTTATGAGGAGATTCAGTCTGGACACATTGTTAGGCAGGAAAAAATGATCCATCAAAACTAGTTTCTAAATGTTTTTTTTACTTACAAATCTATGAATTACAATGATCTACACTCAGCCAAACTGCCTTGCAGATGACACTGAAGATCTACAGACTTGAAACAATGTTACATTAAATATATGTCAAATTATTAGTGATGTAAACAGTGGCACATGGTTTCCTCATCCTCAAACACAGTGGAATGTAATACACAACATTCAAGTAAAACTCACAGTTGCTGATTTATAGACAAATTATTTTTGTATCTTTCTGAAAGCCAACAAGATAAATAAGGAGGGCAAGGAATGACATGTGAGGGGCTGGAACTGTGGTCCCACTTCTAAAAAATCCAACACACCAGGTTTATTAGAGCCACACAGCACTATTACTGAAACATGTCTAAAATTGCTATTTGTAAAGTTAGGTAACTTGATGATTTGATGGAAATAACTGAACATAAAGTCAGTAACTTCAAAGTAAGATGAATAGCTTTAAAAGAATATAAAATAAAAAAATTCAAAAGTCAACCAGTAAAATCCACCAACAATATGAATGCCTTCAGTTGTTAACAGCAGGGAAGGTGCAGTGCGCTGGTTTATGATTGTGACTTCCAGGACACAAAGGAGCTTTAGCTCTACTAAAGGAAAACCAAACCTTCGGCATCTACTTTGGTCTGGCTCATGGCACAGACAAGTTTCCTTGGTATTTAAATTTCTACATTTGATCCCAGAGCTTTTGCATTTTCCAAATTGACTGCTGAGACCTCCTTGATTTGAAACAGAAGTGGGAAGGAGACTTCTTTCTTACTTTGAGCAGATCACCTCTTCACTTACTGAGGAGCAGACGCTGAGCACCTACTCTATACCTAGAAGTACTTTTAAACCCTGGCTTAGGGGTAGGAGATTGTCTTTGAAAAATAGTTACCATAAAAGCTACAGGAAGGGTATTTCTGAAAATCACAACATGATTCAAATGTATGGGAGCCAATAGGTACCAGGCACCTGACCTGCAGCAGGCGCCATGTTCTAAGTAGCAGCTTTTTCTAAAAGGCTAATGTGAATCTCCAAAGGTTTTTTTTTTTTTTTTTTTTTTTTTTTTTTTTCCTTTTTTTTTAAACTGGGAGAACCCAGACTGAACAAGATTTTTGTTGTGGATGTGGCCATGCTGGCTTTGCAGGAGGCAGGATTAACCATCCAGGTTTCTTCCCCTGCTTCACAAGCCCTTGTTGAAGTACACACGTTGTAATTCAGGATGACGCTCTTGGATCTTGGCTTGCAGGTCAGCCTCCAAGCTTGTCACAGACATAGAACTGGGATAAGGGAGAACAACAAGGTTATTATACAGGTAGAGGTGGGAAGCAGAACTGGAAAGTGCAGGGAGAGGACACACGGTGTGGTGACAGAATCCTGCTGGAGAAATGCTTCTTGCAGCTGCAAAATGAGTATCTAATTTCCTCCAGGAAAATCAACTGTCTGGTACAGAAATGCACCATAAGAACCCAACCACTGGGCTGGGGATTTAGCTCAGTGGTGTAAATGCCTGCCTGGCACGCTCTAGGTCATGAGTTCGATCCCCAATACCAAACAAACAAATTAAAAAGAACCCAACCACTGACTTGTATTTCTTCTATTGTGAAAGGTTCAGATATCTCTCATCATGGGTGAGAATGTATGGCAAAAACACTCTCAGACATTGCTGGGGTCAGAAAAGAAATCTGTGGCCGGTTCACTTCCAGGGAAAACCAAATAAACATTCACTGTTGACAAAGAAAGGTATGTGTACTAAGTAAAATATACAACACTAATAACTTAACCGGCATGCCTTAATGGGCACGTTTCTGTCCACTACACAGTACGTGCTCACCATGCAACTTTTAGAAAAAGTTAAAGTGTACCCAAATAAAAAAAGAAAAAGAACACTCAGTCCCATCCCCAGGAGATAATGATTTGCCTTATAAATTTTAAAAATGTGTTTGAATGTATTATAGGACCAAATATATTAAAGCTCTTATAATAAATACATGTTATCAAATGCAAGTGTACTTAATAAAAAAACTGTCCAGTATACTTTCTACGAGAAAAATCACTGTAACTTATTTCTTAAAAATATAGGTTTTTTTTTTTTGTCTTTTTCCTTTTTATCAGTACCAGGGATCGAACTCACGACTGCCTGCTTGCAAGGCAGGCGCTTATGCCGCTGAGCTAAATCCCCAGCCCCAGTATTTTGGTTTTTTATACTTGGTATTTTATATATCTAAGATGTAGTAAAACATGAAATAAAAAATCAGGATATAAACCTATATAAAACATGCAATACAAGTAAAAGAAAAACTGTGACTATGAAAAAATATTTATGGTGGCTGTGTATACTCTAGGGCTTTGGGTAACTGTGAAATGATGCTGACGTTGATAATAATGGCTATCATTTACTGATCTTTCATTGGACCAGTCGTACATTTTAACCCTGGTAAAGACTCTGAATATCAGGGTTTTGGATAGTTTTACATATGAGGAAACTCAAGAGGTAAATGAGATATGAAGCCAGCTCTTTTTTGCTTCAAAAAGCCATGCTCCTGATCAGCGGGATATCTACAAATACCTATAACTACGATTAATATATTTTAAAGGCCAACTCAATTTTGGAATTGAAGTTATTCAAACCTTATTGGGTGAAGAAGGATATTCTCTTTTTCATCTTCTAAGAGAATCTGTTTAAAATTGCAACAGTTTGGTTCTTGACAGGTGGGCAAAACTCACCTGTAAGACCATCTGGTTCCTGCATTAAGAAGTGGTTTAAGTGATGCTTCAACTCAAAGGCAGGGGACATGGTACTACTAAAACAAAACTAAAATCAACAAACTGCTTCTTCTTTGTGCCTTAGTGTAATGTAACACTAGGAAGAAGCTGGAGACCTAAATTTAGACAATGCTGACTTAATCCTGGTCAGTTCGGTTTTATGACAGAGTTGAACAGTAGCTTGTAGTAAAACACACCATACAGCAGAGTTTTTAAGGAAAAAACTCAGTAGAAAGTAGAGAAGCAAAAACATCAATTACCTAAACCAAGTACATGTAATTGCTAGGTAGGGGGTGTGGGCTGGACCTCAAGGTCAAAGTATCTGTATTATAGATGCATTTGCAAATGGATTGGATGACAATGAATCATATTTAAATTTTTTTTTTCTCTTTTGAGACAGGATTTCAGTATGCAGTTCAGGCTGGCCTTGAACTCACTTCATAGCCCAGGCTGGCCTTGAATTCGCAGTGATTCTCCTGGCTCGGCCTTCTGAGTGCTGAGATTACAGGTATGCACTACCATGCGCAGATACCATATTTGAATTTTGATATTTGCAGCAGAATTAACCTGATTTTTAGAAAAGAATAAATTTAACAGGAGAGGGTAGAAAAGAGCTGGGGAAACAGTTTTGAAATTCAACAGATCTCCCCTTTTGTTTCTTAAGTCCGATCTCTCCTTTGTTTTTTTCCTATAGAAACTTTGGCTTCATCACCTTTGAGCCTCAACTTTCCCTCCCATGAAATGGAATAACTACATCTATATCTTTAGATGATTTTTAGAATCACAAGTCTTGGTGAACCACTTCAGAGAACAAGGAGGACGTACCTTTTCTGAGGAAACAGCGCACAGCACAGCGGCGTGGCGAACACCAGACTTCAAAAAAAAAAAGATGAAAAAGACAATCAGCATTTTGCAGTCTCAAATTTTCCACGTCTTATTCCACTTTATTTTTATATCAATCTTCTTTCATTGTTTAAAGCATTAGATTTCCTTATAAAAATGTTGTTAATTTTATTACTTGGTTTAAAAAAATCCCCACTAAAATCAACAACATTCCAAGAAATAACAGAGATTTAAAAAAGAATGACAGAAATAGCCTTAAATGTTGTAAGTTTCTCCAAATACAGTTTACTTTTCTCCAATTATTGAGATTGTAAATTCCAGATGCTCCCAGATTGTCTCATTTTCAAAACTTTTGTCCCATATTTTTCATCCTTTCTTTTATGTTTCATAGGCTATATATTTTCTTTTAAAAATTAATTATCTTAATGGAAATCTAAATGTAATTTCAATGTTAATTACCTCAGATTGAACACTACATATTATACACATATACTGAATTATTGAACATAAATATATATACAATTAAAATACTAATTTATATACTTTTACAAATCCTCTCAGCTATTTGGGAGGATTATGAGTTCAAGGCCAGCTAGGACTAAGCAAAATAGCAAGACTCTTCCCTTCAAACAAATCACTGAACAAAAATTAAAACAAAAATTTGAAATTACTCACCAGAAGCCAACTAATCCAACCTGTATAGGTGCACTCATCCAAGGGAACCTCTGTGTAGAGAGATATATGATTGTGAGTACCTCTCATGAGGGCTTTTGGGACCTGACTAGAAGAAATTTCTGCACATTAATTAGAGAACTTAAATGCAATATGGTTAGCAAAATTTAGGGGTAACAGTATGCTTCGTGTTAATCTGAATTTTTTCCAGCCCTTTTGATCTGTAAGTGAACACACATGCAAAGATCCAGTGGATAAAGATACACTGTAATATTTTTAATTGACACAAACTGACATAAATGTAAACTGCTTCAGAAAATAGCAAGAACAATATGTTCAAAACAAGGGGGGCTATTTTGAGGGGCATTAATGACAATGTGTTTTTTACTGTAATAAATTTTTTAAAATATACATATTCACTATCTATTGATCACACCTTATAATCTGAGTGGTGCTTACATATACAGAAAGATAGAGAAGTAGTTACCACTTAGCTATAATTTATCTCCTGACTGGGGAGGCAGACTAACATGATGCCAAAGTTTAGACAGATAAACTCACATCCAAATTCTACCCTAGCAGTTACTTCCTGACTGTGGGGAAAAGGTAGGTGGCTTCTAATACCTCAGTGCTGTAGTTTCTTTGTTACGTTGTTGCAAAATGAACACCCTAGTAAGATCTTCAAAGTATGTGCTAAAGATACATGCGATGGCATTCACAAAACACTTATATACTCCTGTACACTCAAGAAACGTTTACCATCTCCCACCCCCATTTGCACTCAGTCTTTCCCAGTTTTAGTTGCTATCAGTATGGTTAAAACTATTGCTGGCATTTGTTTTTCTTGCTATTTTTTTTTTTTTTTTTTAGTTGAAAGGAAGGGGTTGGTTCATCTTTTTGAACATAAATACTGTTAGCTTTTTAGGTTTTAAAAAGTAGGACTAAAATATATAATATAAAGAACACAGTGATCATAGGATTATAAGACCACAGAAATAGCTGCAACCCAGTTGTGAATACATTGTAATGTATTCAGGCAACTTAGTAAAGAGTCAGTAACAAGCAGTAACAAGACAATGTGTATAAGAGGCATACCCTGGTACCCCAGCAGACTCCTCTGGACAAAGGGAACATCGGGAGTGTCAACGTAAAAGGAGAAACACAAAGACTGAAGAGGAAAGGAGAAATATCATCAAGTGATCAGTCCACATAGATTATGGAGGGGGCCCAACCCGCAAGAGATAGAAGGAAACTACAGTCATGTTCACTTAATAGGAAACCCTTTGAGAAATGAATCATGTGATGATTTAGTCTTTATGCAAGCACACAAACAGTATGCTTATGCACACCTGAATGGCTATGACATTAACAATAATCTTACAGGACTATCATCATATATGGACGCCATGACTGAAATGTCACCATGTAACACATGACTGCACTGTTATCTTGGACAACTGGCTGTTTGATGAAGGATTTTCTAGGGAGATGGTAAATTCTTGCATAAGATCTTCCTGGACACGTGAGAACCTTGGCTGGTACGGACAAGCAAGCTAAGTACTGAATGAGATGCTGTGGAGAGATGGACTTGAGCCAGGAAAGCCAGCCTGCTCATTTCAAATGGATGCTTTTTTGCAGTAAATGAGGCTAACCAGTTATCCAAAAGGGAACATCGGTGTGTCATCCTAGGGATAGACGTCTATAAATCAAACACTGACTATGGCTCATACAATGGGTTTTAGTGCAAGGACTCCTTGTAAAGACAAAGATCTTGGTGAAATCCAGGTTATCCTGTAAAATCCAAACTGATGCTATTTCTTTTTCTGATCCCTCTAGTACCTCATCCTGTCTAATTCATACTTATTTCTCAAACAGAACTTACTGTAACACTAAATGAATAAGCTGTAGATTGTAAAGACAGAGTTGAGACTTTGATTGCTAAAGAAAAACAGAGAGATAAAAAAGATGGCCATGGGGAATCCCAGGAAGCAGTGGGTCTCCACCCTTTACAGCCTCAAAACTACAAAAGTAAAAAAAATTGCCAAAAAAAAAAAAAAAAAAGATACAGAGTAACATGCTCCAAAATGGCGATAAGAGGGCACATGAGGTTCCAAAATGGTAACAACATAAAGGAGCTTTTCCTCACAATCAGGTAAACAAAACCCAACAATCCAGGCAACTGACCCCTATAGCTAAAAAAAAAAAAAAAAAAAAAAAAAAAAAAAGCCGGGCTGCTGCTCCAGCTGACAGCAGACCTTGGCAGCATCTACATGGTGATTTTAGATTTAAAGAAAAAAAGAAAAAAAAAAAAAAACCCCACAAATTCTGAGGGTAAAACAGCTTCTACCTTGATTACAAAGGGCCTGGAAAGCCAAGCAGTGTGTTCCTGACAGGGCAGTTTATATAAAGATAAAGCCAAAGATACAATAGAGACCCCCAAAATTTAAAAAAGCCAAAAATATAGATCATCCAAACAAAGCTACAAAAAGTAAATAGAGAGGGTTTAAAAAAAAGCTGAGAGCTAAAATTCCTAAAAGTGCCAGAGATAAAATCACCCAAGCCTTTAGAGCTTACAACCAGATTGCTTCAAATGTTAAACACAAAACTCTTAAGACTTAATATTTACCCTGCTAGATGTTAGATTTGCTGTTTCCAATGCTTTATATTCCCGTTTGTGACTTTTAAAATGGTAATGTTTATCATGCACGTTTACATTTCAAAAATGTTTAACCTTGTTTCATTTATACAGGGGGTTACAGTTAAAAGGTTGCCATAGATCTTAAGAAACTTAAAACTTAGACTTTTCAACAATGCTAAAACTGTTAAAACTTTGACAACTCTTAGAGATAAACTAAATGTCTTTCCTATAAAAGATACACATGAGTCCTGGGGGCCAGGGGTAAAATGCCACGACTTATGTCGGTGGCCCTCAGGCCTCATACATTTGCATTGTAGATTTGCTATTGGTTCTTTGTCTAGAGTTTAGATTGATGGTGTCAGATGGTACCCCTATGTCTACCACATAGGGGTAGAGCCAACATACAATCTAGTAACAAAAAAAAGAGGTGTGTTTCTCTCTTGCTGGTTTCCACCTTGCTGTTTATAGCTGCCATAAACTGAGGCCCTGCCATACCACCCTGCCTTGGAGCCAACTCAGTATAGACTAAAACCTTCAAAAACTATAAAAAACAAACCTTTCCTTTCCCAACTTTGGGCATCAGGTATTTTGTCTCAGTGATGAATAAAAATAACTAAGACCCATGCTATCTGCTCCCCGAGAGGAGGGTGCATACCCTTCTTCTATGATTGCAGTCCTCATCACATTGCCTGGCATGCAACAGACATTTGGCAAAGGGTTGCTTAATAAAAACGATGAATGAACAAATAAATGGCTTTATTCACATTCAAGTAGCAGATAATCCTGTTAAGCTACTGAGGAGACACATTAATATACTTTTATTAAAGGAAATATAAAAGAACTATGAAAAGGAATCAGAACCATTATAGGCTCTAAACCATATCAATTTTATTTCCAATGAAGGTCTCAGTAAAGAAGACTTAAAACTAAAGAGACGATAAGAACTATTCTGTTAGGCATGGTAGAGTCTGCCTTTAACCCAATGCAATCCCAGGTTGCATGCTGTGAGTTTCAGGCCGCCTGGACTGTATAGTGAGTTCGAGACCACCCTAAGCCACATAGCAAGCAAGACCCCATCTAAAAATACGAAACAAAACAAAACAAACTGAACGCAGAAACACCGTGATGTTAGGCAGTGAACTTTTTGGTTAGCTACAAAAATTTCCATGTGTCTTCTGCCCAAATCTGCTGCCTTTCTTCAGTGTTTCACTTAAGAAAAGATAAGGCAGGCATGGGGAGAAGAGTGAGTCATGCCAAATGCTCCCAAAGCATTGTTGTTTCAAAGAGCCCAGAACATTCAGTTACTTTCATGTTCACTGAGAAGCTGGGTCATTTGCAAGGTGAAGGCCCAGGGGAGCTCATCCTTGTGGAGGCGGCAGCTCTGGCCACGGAGCAAGGGTCCTGTGGCAGGCAGTGACCATGTGGGCAGCATCTGCTGCTGCAGAAATAATTTCTGAAGCCTTTTTGAAGGAGGTACAGTCAAGCCCACCTTTTATCACACGATGTAAAAATGCCTTGAATGTGGGAAGTACAGATATTGATATAAATGTTTTCCATGTATGTTTTAGTAATGGTTATACTATCATATAAATCCAAAAGTCATCTCTATGTGGGCAAAATGTAATATTTAAATGGAACAGCAACCCTGAATTTGAGAGTGTTAGGGCTGCAAGGGCACCTCAACAGTACTCAGGTATTGATTTGTCAAAATCACACCTTGAAACCTGAAGGAGGTCCGTTACAACCAGATCTTCTATAGCTACGCACTTGGACCGACCCTTCAGCTACTCTTGCCACCTCTTTTAACTTTGCTACAAGAGGTCTAGTGCCCTATGTGTGGGGCACGGGGCAGGCAAAGGTAATCTGTGGGAGGAGGAAGTGAGGAGCCAGTTTCCAAATTATCGGAGGGTTAGACAACAAGCCGAGCTAAAACCAACAAATCAAGATAAGGATTGGAAGGAAGATGATGTTTACTTGTCTTTTTAATTATGTAAAAGCCTAGCGCAGTGTGGACATGCAGGCTAACATGCTTCCACCATTTGCTAATCCTTCCCATGTGAAATAGTTACAGGGTATATGCCAGTGTTTCATCTCTCCCCACAAGAAAATGATGTAATATGCCCAACTCTGTGTAGTGTCCAGCATTTGTCACAAACAGATTAGATGAACTGTGGTAACCATCCCATCACAGGTACCCCAGGAGTTGAAAGGCACAACTGAACTCAGAATGAAACACTGACTTCACTTCCTGGGTTTCCCCTATTGGCCTAGCTGTTCAGAACTAATTTGGTCTGAAATGCAGACTTTCTTATAGAATTTCTGGAATTCAGACACATGTTACCATAGCAGCCAGAGTACACCTACTGGCATAGGCTGGAGCCAGACTCTACTTAATCATATCCCTTCAGCAGCAGGAGGTGATCACGCTGCGAATCATGCTACTGAGATCCTTCTGTTAACCAGGCATGGGGTGACACATGGAAAGCTTAATTGGTGACGATGTTGCCATTGAAGGTAGTCTCCAAATTACTTTTATAATCAACTGCAAAATCATGATTATGGCCTTATTATATAATCGACTGAATGACCCACATTTACTATTTCTTTCTTGCAAAAGCTGTGCCTTTTATGCTAAACTAACATAATAAGATGACAATTTCTAAGCTTTGCCTTCATCTGGACATCTCGTTTTGCTTTTAAAGCCCAGTTTTGCTGAAATTCAGTAGGTGGGAAAATTTGCTTTGTTAAATACACTCTTTGATTTTCTTGGTTCCAAGTTATCCACTCCAATACTGAGGAATTAATTATCAAGCAAGTCAAAAGGTCACAATGTATCTTTGTGGAAATAGCACAGATCTAGTGACTAAAGATATATAGCCAGCAGACAACAATACAGAGCAATAATTTGATGTCTATAAAGTTATGGATTTATCAGATGGGTCACTTACTACTCTACCGTTATGAAGAATCATGTTGACAATACCCACTCTAATATTCGCTTTATAGATGTTCTACCTCAAAGACTGAATCAGTTCTTGTAAGTCAGGCAGGGATGAACAAGGAAGGTGTATGAGTCCTCCCGCCCCCTGATTACCTATAATGGAGATGTTAAACCTGGAAGATTCCAGATGAGTCTATCATTTGGTAGTTTTTAGATATAATCACTGCTTCAGTACATAATCTACCTCTTAGTAGTTTTTTATTTTTTTAATTTACTTTTTTTTTGAGACAGGATTTCTCGATATAGTTCAGACTGCCAACATCACATAATACAAAGAAAAATTGAGAACATTCTAAAATCAGGGACAAGACAAGGTATCCACTCTTTCACTGCTGGTCTATACAGTATTCAAAACTTTAGGCAGAGCAAGCAACCAAGAGAAATAAAAGAGATATGAATAAGAATGAAATCAAACTATCCAGATTTGCAAATGATATGATCTTTTACATAAAAGACCCAAAAAATTCTACCAGAAGACTCAACAAATTCAGTAAAGTGCCAAGATACAAAATCAATACACAAAATTCAATAGTGTTATTGTATACCAAGAACCTACTCAGAAAGAAATTAGGAAATGATACCTTTCACAGTAAGTTCCAAAAAATTAAGCACCTCAGAATTAACTTAACCATGGAAGTGAAAGATCTTGACAATAAAAACTATAGTACTCTAAAGAAGAGACTGAAGAAAACATTAGAAAACAGAAAGACATTCTGTATCTGGATAGGCAAAATTGATATTGTCAAAATGCCCACATTCTACCAATTATATGTAGATTTTATGCAATTCCAATCACATACCAACAATATTCTTGTAGAAAAGAACCAGAATAAACAATGAAATTCTGAGCAAAATAAGCAAAGCAGGAGGCATTAATATCTTGAATTTCAAATTATCCTACAAAGCTACAGAAAGAGCACAGCATAATACTGGCACAGAATAACGTAATCACACACAAAGACAGTCCTGGTTAACTTACTGTCTGATCTTTGACAAAAGGGCTAAAAACAAATGTTGGAGAACAACAACAGCCTCTTTAATAACTTGTGCTTGGAGAACTGGCTATCAACATGCAGAAAAATACAGATCTATAATAAAAATGGAGCAAAGACCTAGACATATAAAAACAGAACACTGAATCTACTGGAAAATAAAATACTTAAAACTCTTGAAGTCATCGGTATAGGCAAAAATTTATTGAACAAAACTCCAATAATACCAAGGATCTGCAATTGGGAGTTATGTTAAACTTAAAAAGCTTCTTTACATCAAAGGAAACAACCTATGGAGTAAAGTTATCAAAGTACAGAATGAGAAAAAGCTTTGCCAGGTATCCCTTGGACAGAAGACTAATGTTCAAAGAACAATAACAACAAAAGATCCCAAAAAATCCAATTAAAACAATGGAGTGTTATGCTTTCCCTTATATTAGAAATCCAAAATATAAATAATTTAAAGAGTAAAATAAACGAGACATAGTAGGAAATAGGGAGGCAGACTTTTTGGAGATTGGGGAAGGGGTCTGGGGAAGAAAGGTTTAGAGGAGAGAAAGGGGATTAAAAAGGATTGAGATACAATGCATGTATGTATCAGTTCCTTACAATTAATATGTATCACAAATATATATTAATTAAAATAAATACATAAAAACTAAAAAATCAAAAGAGTCTAGAGTTACGTTTTGCACTATATAATAGTCTCCTCATATCCAAGATTCCAGTGGAGGCTGATAGTACTAAGCCTTTTTGCTATAAGTACATCTGGTAAAGTTTAATTTATAAACTAAGCATGAGGAGAGATTAAAAAACAGTAACAAAATAGAAGAATTACAAAAAATACTGGATTAAGGATTAAACACAAGCACTGTGATGCTGAAACAACTGATCTGATAACAAAGATGGTCACTAAGTGGCTAAGGGACAGGTGGCATTGATACCCGGCATATGCTGAACAAGGGGATGGCGCTCATGCAGGGAGATGGTATATACAGCCAGTATCACCACACTGCTCAGAAGGGTGCACGGTTTAAAACTTGTAAAATATTTATTTCTGGAATTTTCCATTTTATATCTTTGGACTGGGAATTAAAAACAGAGTGAATGGTGCAGGCTATAGTACCTATTGCTTTATTGTTTATAAATATGAAACTGTTTTGTATTTTTGTTTAATCTTGAGACTAAGAATGCCAGAAAGCTCCAAAGGAGATGGATGAGGATTCAGAGGCATTCTGAGGGTGCAGTTTCCTGGGGGCTGGAGGTTCCCCCTGGGAACTCTCTAAGGAGCAAAGGGACAGCTGCATCATTGGAGTGTAGAGCAGTGATGGCCTTTTAGAGCTTTCAATGATAACGAACAGTCCATTATGTGTGTGTTGTAGGTTCGCCGTCACTGGTATAGCGTAATTATCAAATGCACATAAGAGTGATAGAAGCACTGGTTCTAAAATCTTCATTTTGGGGAATATAGCTTATTTTATTTTATTTATTTTATTTTATTTTATTTTTTCTTTTTGAGACAGGGTTTCGCTATGCAGTTCAGGCTGGCCTAAAACTCACTTTGTAGCCCAGGCTGTCTGTGAACTCGCAGCAATCCTCCAGCCTCAGTCTAACTGAGTGCTAGGATTACAGACATGTGCCTCTATGGGGAATATAGTTCTTTCATATCCCCAGAGCTCCTTATTGTGTGAGAGGTGCCTAGAGAAGGCATCTTCTCTCATATTAGCTGGTACACTGACATTCAGCAATCTAGACATACTGGTCAAATGAGATACTTAGTAGTACTTTTTCTTTACAGAATATTTTTGTCTTATTTTTCTGAGAATATTATTGCAGCAAAAGGGTTTACAAAATATTCTTTTATTACTTTAGTTTTCCTGCTGGGCCCAGAGCAATCAGATTTATGAATATATTGTAAGATTTTTAGAATTCCACTTATCTCTGACCTCATTTAGGAAGCGCTAGGTATGCAAATGATGTGCAATTTTTACGGCTTTAAAAGTCTCCTCACTATGTCACTGCTCTAAGACTCAAGAGTCCACCCCAAGGGACTGCCATCCTTACCACAATACACCCGTTCCTCCAGGAGGAACCTGGCCCATTGCTTCCAGCAGATCCAGCCGTGAGAGATGCTAAACACAGTGTGAGGCCCATGAGTCACCCCTCCCATGTATGCCATTTGCCGTGAGAATCAGAAAACCAAGGTTAAATATAACTATTATCACATTAGTCATGATACCTGCAAAATATAATCTAGAAAGAAGGCATCCAGTACACTGAGATTTCTTGGTTACGATTTCACCTGTAGTGCTTTCACAACTTGATGGGAGAGAGCTGGCAGATAATAAATCACTAGATGTGATAACCAGGGCCCTACACTCAGTGGTCCATGAAAGTACGACTCCAAATTATCTGTTTATTCCTGATGTATAGGACTTATCAACATGGCCTACATTCACACCATCCTGTAAGTTTTACCTATCTAGGCATGCAATGACGCAGCACAGATCACCGAGTTGCAGCCTCATGATAGAGGTGCTCTTCATTTACAAAAGCCCTTACAAGCCTCTGAGATGAGAAACAAAATATTGCCAAAAACATCTCTTTATTTACATTTATATCCAAGAGCAGCTGATCTTCTTTTCTTGCTACTTATCTAAAAATATTCTATAGAGTCTGAAATCTGAAAATGAACTAAAATGACTGAGAAAATAGCAGACCTGAAGCTTACCTTCATAAATGCTTTCTTTTCCAAAGTGTTCATGATAAACGGAGGGATGGCTGGAAGTAAAGACAGAGCCACTTAAATCTTGGTTTAATGTCACTTCCTCCCACCCCCAATAGCTTGCTAGAAAACTTATATCACTTAGGGAGATTTTTACACTGGCAGAGTAAAAATAGTTTGTAGTAATTTTTAAAATTATTAAATTTACTGATCATTACAGTGTACACACGTATAAAATTATCACAGTATACCGCATATGTCTAGCTACTTAAACTGATAATAAAATTTAAATCAATAAATTCAAATTTATTAAAAACTACATTTGTCTTCTTGATTTCTGCAAAAGCAATGAAAAAGCCATGAAGTTTTACAATCTTGAACAGAATTCTATCTGTAACTCTGTTCTTTTGTCTTTCATATTTAGTTTGTTTTAATTTAATTATCTTTTTTGCTACAATTAGGTATATACAATGATCACACTCATCACAGGGAGTCTGTACCTGCGCATGATATACCTTGATTTGTCTTTGAACAGGCAACAGTACAAACATCAGGAATTTTCCCTCTTATATTAAAAAACCAAAGATGACTTTCCTTGAGTGTCTACCGCGCATGAAGAACACTATAGAACATCTTCCTTCAGTACCTGCTAGACTACCTGTTAGCTGGAGAATGCTGGAAAAGTGACTGAACTCTAAGTCTCAGTCTTCTGTTTTTCCAGCTATGAAATGGGGAACATTATACTACATTGGCTGTGATGATTAGATGAGATAATGCATGTGAAATGTCTGGTATGTGGTAGGCAGCTCATTACCTTATAACTTTTATTAGACATAACTGTCATATCAGCTACTTCAATCACCCTCGTAAGTTTCACTCAGACAGAGAGATTTTCTTCCCCGTGACTAAATAGTGCTTATAATAACCACATTCCTGGAAATGGAGTTGTTGGGCTAGTACAACTCCAAGAGAAGTATGACCGTCCAAAAATGGGAAAGACTCAAGCCAAAAACAAATGCAGAGTGGGAATTGGGAGTTTTGATACTGTTTTCAGTAAATTTGGAGATCAGGGCTCAGGAGTAGGTCAGGATGAACTCCACAGCTTCCTCTTAGGTGGGGACAAGCATTTTGGTTCCTGATCTGAGCAGAGTTTGCCTATGTTTCAGCACTGTGGCTTCCTAGACATCCTCACAGAACACAGAGGCATCCCACAAAGACACTGAGGGGCTTCTCTGTTAAATCAGCTAACACTGATCTTCCCCTAATTATCTGGAATGCAAAGACAGTCACCTCTTGTTCCTTCATGTTTTCAGGAACCCTATGGATACCAAAATCTGTGGATGTTCACATCCCTTAAATAAATGCTGCAGCATCTGCATATACAATAACCAGCATGCATTTTCCTATATATTTCAAATCATTCCTATATTAGATAGTACATCATACCTAATAGAATGTAAATGTAATGACTGTATTAAATTGTTGAAGGAATAATGACAAAGAAAACAAAGGTCTGTACGTGTTTAGCACACATACAATTTTTAAAATCTTTGGGTAGCTGACTCCATGGATGCTTAACTGTGGATATTGCAGGAGGGAGGGCTGTAGAAAAGTTTTCCTTCAAGTTTTGGTGTCTACTCATGAGCGTTCACCATGTCAAAAGGACTTTGAAAACAGTCAAAATTTTATTTAATTTCATTTCCTTTTAATAGCAAAGTGCTATATGCATGCAGCTTAGGTGACAAAATTAGACATACTAACTTCTGTTTTAGATTTTTTCCCTGCAAACTCCTTGTCCCTCTGGCTTCTTAGTATGTCTCAGAACCATCTCTAGGCCCCTGTTCTGAAGGTAGCTTTAAGCAACTTGGTGGGTGCACAAGAGGTTGCCAGAGAAATTATAAATACAAGGCAGCTTTCCTGTCTCTGGTCACACAGACTCTAAGCCCTCTGAAGAAAACTGAACACATGCGGAGATTTTCTAAGCATTTTCATTTGTTCTGTGTTCCAAAGGTTTCAGATTGATACAAATAAATCTTCAGTAGAAATTATTTCTCTCCATGCACTTTTAGAAGTTTCTTTTAAGATCTGTAAGTATCAAATTCCTTGTCTTCAAATTCTCATCACCTTACTGCATCCCTCCGGTCTTGTTTAACCAGCCATGATCTCTTGCCAGGAGCAGTGAGCCACCTTCTTGCAGGTTTTCACACATTTCTGCACCTGCTTTAGTCTGTTCTCACACAGCACGCAGAGGCGTGCATGCAGGTAAAACCAAGTTGGAGGATGCTACTGCCTGACTAAAACTCTGCATGGCTTCCTACACTTCAGACTAAAAGCCCAAGCTTGCAAAGCCTAGGTAACCATCCACATCCTCTCCAGTACATCGTGGCTTCCTTTCTGTAGCTTCCATCTCCATCTCTACCCCACTACACCTTCTTCCTTGGCAAATCTCTAACACAAAAGATCAGCTCCTGCAGTCCCGTGGCTACCGTCTCTGCCCAGAATTTTGGTTCCTGACAACTACTTGGCTCATGCCTTCATCTCCGCCTGGTCTTCTTCCAGGCTGCCTCCTACATGCCCAGTGTTCCTTCTCTCCTTTAATCCTTACTGTCATTCCACATATAGGTTAAGTTTCCCTAATGTGAAACTCTGAAACCCAAGATGCTCTAACAGCAAAAACTTTCTGAGCATTAAAAAATGCCACAGTGAAAATTTTACATTTGACTCATGTGACAGGTCAATCAAAATGCAGACACACAATATATAATTATTCTGCATCCTCAAGGGGAATAAACACCTGACAGCCCCATTCACCTGCAATATGCATACTTTGTTTTATGTACATAATCATCAAAAAGTTACATAAAATTATCTTTAGGTCACATGTATATGGTATATGTACAATGTAAATAAACTTCATGTTTAAACTTAGGTCTTGTCCCAGGATAGCTCATGATGTATATGCAGATATCCAAACCAAAACAAACAAATAGACAAAAACTTAAATCTAAAACACTTCAGGTTCCAAGCATTCTGGATAAGGGACACTAAACTTCTACTATACCGTTCTCATCTTCTGCCTCCTTCACTGTAAGGTCATTTTCATAAAGGGGAATGACTTTTTGCTGTAGTTTACTGGAAGATAAAAGCTTATTCAGTTTAAACTTAAGAAAAAAATGAATGGATGACCAAGTTCCACTAACCCATGCCGGGGGCTGCCATGAGAATCCTAGAGATGACAACTTGCATGATGGCTTGCTTTGCAGCATTTGCTGATTCACCCAAGCGGTTCCCATTTTCGTCAGTGATGGGAATGCCAACTTTGAGTTCCCTGTAGAGTAAAACACATGTAAAAAGAGTTCACAAATACCTTCATGCAGAGTCTTGAAGTAGCACTAGATTGGGAAGGCGCAAGTCCTTGCTTTATCCAGACACCCTCAGATGTCATTTTTGGTGCTGACAAGTCTATTTTTAAATAGCATGAATAAGTCTAACTTTCTTGTGATGGACACACAGGTAAAAATCATACTAGTATGCTTTTTAAAAAAGGTGTACTTTTTTAGTAACAGTAGGATTTGAAGGATACAGATGTTAATTTAAAGATAAGGCTAATGTTTATGCTCATGTACAAATCTGAGTAACATTCTAAGTCAGAAATAGTTATATACATAGTGTCAACTAATGGCACTGTTACAGGCTTAAACATGGCCCTATTGAGTATTTATTAACTGTAGTTACTAACACAGTAAGGACAATTCTTATTGTCAATTCCAAAATGCTTTTTCTTGTTCTTTCTTTTCCTTTGATTTTTGCAAGTTCTAACATACTTTCAAAGATATATATTTATTTTAAAAAGCTCCAAAACAAGTCCATAGCAGGAAAAGGAAACTATATTAGAGAATCAATTTTCTTTGCAGAGACTTTCCTTGCAGAACTCAAGCACAAATCAGTATAAACCAGTCATATCTTTGAAGCTTTTTATTATATGGCAGTATAAAGATGACTCTCCACTACCACACACTCAAAATGAGCAGCTTTTCACTAAGCTTCTTGTATCAATGGGCCCATTCTTAACTTCAACCCCAGGTTACTGTGAAGAAAATCTAAGATTCCATAGATTTCCTCTGGACATATTAATATGAAAGTTTTAACAAAGCGAATTGTTAGAATAGATTCTTCTGTTGAGCACAAGTTAATCTTACCTTTGCCTCATCAATGGAATATTAATGCAATTGGCAGCAGCTACAGCAGCAAAGGGAACAAAACGTCCAATCAGTGGTGAGACATGCTGTGAAAAGAGAAATGTTCCAAAAACATTACGTCACTTTTCCTGGAGAACTGAATGGAAATATTTATCTTTTCCTAAACTGCAGAATTTTAGTTGTATAGAAACTCAGTCCAAGAGGACTTTCTTTTTTTTTTTTTTTTTTTTGGCTTTTTCGTTTTTTTTATCGGTACCAGGGATCGAACTCATGACTGCCTGCTTGCAAGGCAGGCGTTTATGCTGCTGAGCTAGAGGACTTTCAAAGCTTGTTTCCTAGTAGTATTTTTATATTTCTAGCATAGGTAGGCTGGGACAGAGTGTACTCGTATGACATTCTGACAGCTTACTGAGGCTGAAGATGTATGGAATTTAGAGTCCTAAAGTCTTGAGTTCATATGCTGGGTCTTCAGCCTCTTTAAAGACACTGCCTACTGCACAGTCTTTGGGTCAGGGAGGCATTTGGTATTAAATACAGAGGGCTAGGCACGGACCACACTATTGGGTGATATCATGGTTGACACTCTTTGCCATAGTCTTCAGGAGATATAACTAAAATATGTAGCTAAATACAATGAATACAAGAAAAAGCTATGTGGCTTTATCTCCCTTTGGCAAAATAATAGAGCCACTGAGATCCAGCCAGGTGAGAAGAAATGAGACATCAAAACAGAGTACCTTGGTTAATGCATTAAGTCCTAGAGCTGTTGCCACAGCACCAGTTGTTGCAGAGACATAAGCTGTCCCCAGTTCTCTGGAAAGAAAAAAAGAGTGTGTACATGACAAATACATATCATGAAACTCCATTCTATTATTTGAAAAAGTATGAAAGAAATTAAGAGTATGCCTAAAAGTAGAGATTGCAGCAAGCAACGTGTGGTTATCACTTCATGAGACCCCCTGAAAAGCAGGTAGATCCCTAAAACAGGCTTCTTTGCATATTGTCTAAAATCAAAATACTTCTCAGAAGATTAATATATATGGAAAGCCAAATGCAATGCTGCCATTCTTAAAATATTGTCTTACTGTATAAAAATACTAATAGGCTCATCTTCAAAGTACAATTAAACACAAGCAATTTACCATGAATGTGACAACACCTGTGAATTGCAGATTTTAGTATTTTTTGGTCTGTTTGATGACGGTAAAAGAATATAGGCTGCCAGAGGCAATTTTCATTGGTAAAAAGGAAAAACACTTTTCTTTCAAGTGTTATTCAAGTTACACCACCATTTCTGCTTAACTAGTCTCTTTGGCTTGCCTTAAAAAGTTATTTTAATAGGAGGCAAATACATAAAACTCATTACTTCTTGGGGGAGGGGTTCTAGAGATGAACTACCTTAAAAACAAAGCAAATATAAAGTTCAATTCTGCAGAGAACACTCTGCTGACTCCTCTGATTTGATTCTGGTTGGCGTGACAGATGCAGGCTCGATGGGAGTATAGGTTGTCACTTCCCAGAGACCAGGCCTGATTTACTTGTCTTGTGCTCTACAGGGCTATGGGGCTCGGAGTGTATGAGTGATAACATTCTACCAATGCCATTAACAACATGGATACCGTCTGAGGAGGTAGGATGAAGGAGACAGTTACTTTGAAACAGGAAGAAGAAGAAACACTTAAAAAGATGATACATGGTACTGCATCCAACATAAACAGTTTGCAAAAATACAGTTCCTCTTAAGAAACCTAAAGTAAAAATCAATTAAAAAGAAAAAGAAAAGGGAAGAGGACCAAGAGATGGAGGAAGATGGGTGGGAAGAAAAGGTAAGGGCTTGAAAAAACAAAGATGTGCCCTGTCCACACATCAAATTCTCATGATGAGTATAATTATTATATATTTCCAACATGTACTAACAAAAAGTTAAAAAAAAAAACCCAACAAGGACATGCTTAAAAAAACCCAAGAGAATATCACCACTTAAACAAGCACTGGAGAAACACAACAGATGTTAACCCCTGGAGTCTTACTTTACAGTGAGCGGGGCGTCTCCACTTCTATTGGTGTAGTTAACGACAGCATTGAAAGACTGGTTGATCCACTGCCAGAAGAGCACAGCGGGAGTGGTCCTAAAACAGAGCAGTCGTCACATGCCCACCATCACTTATGACCCAACCACTGTAATGACAGAAAATATGGACACCAGCAGGAAGAGGGTACCAGAGAGGGGAGAAATGGGGAGCCAGAATGCTTGGGAGCCGCAGGCTTAGGGCCTGTGTGGCTATCCTCTCTGACGATCAGTTCCCTCCTGAAGCTCAGAGGGTGATGCTGATGAAATAAAGAACCCTGTGGACAGTTTGGCACAGAGTAGACATTAAATGCATGGCAGATTCCTATATTTGGGCAAAAAGAAGCCATTTGCAGGCCAAGCAATCCTGGTCTCCCCTAACGCAATCCCCTTTTTTCCCACGTATGCCACTGAGCTGTATCTCCTGCCCTGTAACCCTATATGTTAATGTATACTGATGGCTATGGATATATCTGTACCTCTACCTAGCCTTATGTCTACAGCATGTACAAGAGGATCAAAAGGAAAATTCACTTAAACGCTCCATTTCTGTTTTCTTTTTTGTCTTTTTGAGACAGGGTCTCAGTTCAGACTGGCCTTGAGCTCACTGTGTAGCCCAGGCGGGTCTCAATCTCTCAATGATCCTCCTGTTTCAGTCTCTCGAGTGCTGGGATTACAGGTGTGTACCAGCATGACCAGTTTAAGGTTCCACTTCTTGTATCTTATTTGCTTTTGGGTATAAGACACAGGGAAAGACATCTTTCTTTTGAACAATACAGAAGATGTTATTCAGCAGAGAGCAAAGGTAAAATAGATCTCTGAATAAAATATTTATTTAGAGGCCTCAATCTAGGCCTGGTGCTTAACAGAGTAGCAACATTTACACAAAGTGGGACTGAAAATGAAGTGACATTTATAATATTTCTTTATTTTTCCCAAAGCCACACTATTTTTTTTTCTTTTTGCGGGGGAACAGGGTCTCACTATGCTGCACAGGCTGGTCTTGAACTCGTGGGCTCAAGGGATACTCTTGCCTCAGTCTCCCAAAAATAGCTGTGTCTATAGGTGTGCACCACTGTATCCAACTACAATACCTCTATTTTGTTTTAAAAAGTTAATTTTATTGACTATATTTCTGGGCACAATATGATGTCTTTGTATTGTGGAATGGTTAAAGCTTGTTAACATACTCATAACCCACACACTTAGGAAGTGACATTCATTTCAATAAAATTATAAATTACACATATTCTTCACGCTTCTGTAAAGCTGAGTGAATAAGCTGTTGTCACACACCCGCACTTACCTATAAAATGTCATCATGCAGCCTGTGATGGTCATGTTCATTGGGACCTGAGCTGACATCCTTCCTATCAGAATCATCTTTTCACCAGTGTCAGGATGAAAGGCAGAATCGTAGATGTACTTCGCTCGCCATAATTCATTTTCTGTAAGACCTGGAGGAACAACTCCTTGTCTAGGAAAATGACAACAAATAACACAGCAACTGTTCATTTCAAATACCTCACCAGTGTCCTAGAGACAAGGAGCTACAGGTTTTTAACAGTTGTCACTTAGAAACAATTGTGCCTGGATGAAATCACGAATCTGCTATACACAGTTAGCAACTATTGTTAGTTCTTGGCTTGTATTTACTTATTTAATTTTGTGACTAAGGATTGAACCTATGGCTGTGCTTATGTGTTATGAATGAACTACAACCCCAGACCCTCTCAGGATAAAATGTTAAAGCACAAAGGACAATAAGCACTGAAAACATTTCAAACCTATCCTTCTCAAATTACCTGTAATTTGGAAAATTTAAAAAGTCTTGTATTCTAAAATAGTACTTATGGCTGGGCTATAGCGCAGTGGTATAGCACCTGCCTAGCAAGCATGAGGTCACGAGTTTGATTTCTGGCACCAAAAAAAAAAAAAAAAAAAAAAAAAAAAAAAAAAAAAAAAAAAAAAAAAAAGAAAAGCTGTACTTAGCTTTAAAGTATTGTTTGTTTTACATGACACACTGAAAAATCTATCTTGAACTTTGAAGACTCTAATAAAATATTTTTATCCAATTAGAAAAAAGCTATGTAGTCAAAAATACTAATTCATTTTTAAAACAACAGCTTGGAATCCTAGATTATGAAGACATTAGTTTAAAAAAGGCAGGAAGTATTCATTATTATCTTTCCTTTATCAAAGAAACGTGTTCAGGGGCAAGTGCCTGCCTGGCAAGTGTGAGGTTGTGAGTGTGATCCTGTGAGAGTCGACCCCCCTGCTACAACCCCCTCCCCAGAGCGGGGAATGAAAGGGTTAACTCCCTAACTCCCCAGAGCGGGGAATGAAAGGGTTAACTCTCTAACTCCCCAGAGCGGGGAATAAAAGGGTTAACTCCCTAACTCCCCAGAGCGGGGAATGAAAGGGTTGACTCCCTAACTTCCCAGAGCTATCAGAACAGAGCAGTAAAGAATGCTTCACTCCCTAAACCTTTCCCAGGAGATAGTCAGAGCAGGGCCAAAAGGAATGTCTCTGCTAGTCATTAACCACTAGATGTTCTGTTCTCTGTAAAGATAGAGATAAGCAAAAGAATGTACTGTATAAACAGGACCAGGGAGCACCTGGCACTCTAAGGTCAACCCAAGACCCTCGGTCTCCATGGTTACTCAGCCCCAGACCCTCAAATCAGCATTAGCCAGGTCCTGCGCCGCTCAAAATTAACCAATGCGATTTGCTTCTGTAAACTTACTTGCCTCCTGCGTGTACCTTTAAAAACCCTACACAAATTCCCCTCGGGGCCCCTCCGCACACGTTTGCCTGAGGGACCCCATGCGCATGGAAATAAACTTTCTTTTCCTCACCAAGAGCTGAGTCCTTGGGGTCTCTTTCCCTGCGGCGTTGGCCCTAACATCGTGGAGGCCCCAGCGAGATTAGCACGTCTCACGGGAGGTGACCCCAACGGCTCTACGGGTGAGTACGACTGGTCGCTTTTCATACCACCGGTGTTTACGCCCCGAGCCATACGGCTCCGATCTAGGGGCAATTTTTGTTATCTGTTTCGTACTCTGTTCCCTGGTGACTGGGGGACGCCCCACACGGTTTCCGTGGTTCACCGTCTGCGATAGGGCCTCCCTATCGATTTGGGGAATTTCGATTCCCAATCTGTGGTCCGTCTGGGCCAATTTGGAGACACCCTTTGAGGTGACTCATCTGGGGGATTTCGATTCCCAGTCTGTGGTCCGCCCGGGCCAATCTGGAGACACCCTGTAAGGTGTCTCATTTGGAGTGAAACTGATGCGTATGCATGTGAATGAGGTGGCCGGCCTGATTGTTTTGTGTGTCGTGGGTGCTGTGCTTGGTTATTTGTTGTACCGCGCTTGCGTTAACCGCCCTGTGACAATAGAACATCATGGGACAGTCGACCTCATCCCCATTGTCCCTCACCCTCGACCATTGGTCGGAGGTGCGGAAGAGGGCTCACGATCTCTCCTTGCAGGTCAAGAAGAGTAAGTGGCAGGATTTCTGCTCGACTGAGTGGCCTACTTTCTCTGTGGGATGGCCACCAGAGGGGACTTTTCATCTGCCCCTCATTCTAGCAGTTAAGGACGTCATCTTCCGCCCCGGACAAAGGGGGCACCCTGATCAGGTCGCTTACATCCTGGTATGGCAGGACCTCAGGGAGGAACCCCCATTATGGGTAAAATCCTTTCTTCCCCCTTCTGACTCATCTGTACCAAAGCTTTTAGCTCTGAAAGGACCTCCCACTTCGGCTCCGGTCCTGCCCGAGTCTCAGCCTGATCTACCCTTACTCGACTATGACCAGCCTCCCCCTTCCCAGCTGACTCAACCTCCTCCGTACCCACTCTCTCCTCCAGCCTCCTCGTCCGAATCGAGTGCTGCTTCTCCGTCAGCCCCCTCTTCACCTGAGCTAAATTCCTCTCCTCCTCCGATACCCACGTCCCCTCTATATCCCCCACTCCCTGCGATGGCTTGCCCCGAGCCCACTCCTCCGGGGCCCACGGGCCCAGCCCAGAACACTCGGAGCAAGCTACGGCCTGAGGATCCAGTCGTTACCCTCCCTCTCCGTCCCTATGGGCCCATGATAGACGATGGGACAGATGGAGGGCAGATGCCCGCTTTACAGTACTGGCCTTTTTCTACCTCAGATCTCTATAACTGGAAAAACAATAACCCTCCTTTTTCTGATGATCCTTCTAAGCTAACAGGTCTAATGGATTCTGTTATGTTCTCCCACCAACCCACATGGGACGACTGTCAACAGCTCCTAGGGGTCCTGTTCACCACCGAGGAAAGAGACCGCATCCTCCTGGAAGCCTGGAAAGCTGTTCCCGGAGAGGATGGCAGACCCACCCAGAGACCAGACCGGATCGATGACTTCTTCCCCTTAAAGCGCCCCAACTGGGACCCCAACTCACCTGCTGGTAGGCAGCATCTTTCTATCTATCGCCAGACTCTAATGGTAGGTTTCCGGGCGGCCGCAAGGCGCCCCACTAATCTGGCCAAGGTAAGAGAAGTTACCCAAGGACCTGCTGAGACTCCCTCAGTTTTTCTAGAACGCCTGATGGAAGCTTACCGGCGATATACGCCTTTTAACCCTGAGGAGGAAGGCCGACAAGGCTCGATAGCTATGGCCTTTATAGGACAATCGGCCCCTGATATAAGACGTAAGCTCCAAAGGCTAGATGGTCTCCAAGACCTGACTCTGAGGGATCTTGTTAAGGAAGCTGAAAAAGTCTACTATAAGCGGGAGACAGAGGAAGAGAAAGAATTAGCTAGGGACAAAAGACGAAACAAGGAATTAACTAAGATGTTGGCCACAGTTATTCAGGGAAAACCTGAGCCAGGAAAGGGAAAGCCCACTCGCCCTCCATTAGACCCTGACCAATGTGCATATTGTAAGGAAAAAGGACACCTGATCAAAGACTGTGAAAAGTTAAAAAAGAAACGGGCCAAAGAAGAACGAGAAAGGCAGTCCTCACAGCGATCCCGAGCCCCCATGCTCGCCCTAGATGAAGAAGACTAGGGACTTCGGGGCTCGGATCCCCTCCCCGAGCTCAGGGTAATATTTAAAGTGGAGGGGACTCCCGTGGAATTCGAGGTCGATACGGGAGCTGTTTATTCGGCCTTACAAGCCCCCTTAGGGGCCCTTTCAACTAAGAAATCATTAGTTCAAGGGGCTAACGGGAGCAAATATCGCTCGTGGACCACTGAGCGCACAGTTGACTTAGGCAAGGGAAAAGTAAAACACTCCTTTCTGGTTATTCCCGAATGTCCTGCTCCCCTCCTGGGACGGGACTTATTAACCAAACTGGGGGCAAAGATTTCCTTTGAGCCCCAAGGACCTCAAGTAACATTCCGTAACCCAAAGGTTGGGCAACCTATGGTTACGGTGTTATCTCTAAAACTGGAAGATGAATATAGGCTCTACGACCACCAGGATCCCCAGCCTATCGCCCCAGCCTGGCTAACTGATTTTAAAGAATCCTGGGCCGAGACGGCTGGACTTGGGCTGGCAAGCCAGCAACCGCCTGTAGTGGTTACTTTAAAAACCACTGCCTCCCCTATCCGGGTCAAGCAATATCCCATTAATAGAGAAGCTCACCTAGGGATTAAGGTGCACATACAGAGAGTTTTAGACCAAGGGGTATTAACTCCTTGTCGGTCTGCATGGAATACTCCGTTACTCCCGGTCAAAAAGCCCGGGACGAATGACTACAGACCGGTACAGGACCTAAGGGAGGTCAATAGCAGGGTAGAAGACATTCACCCCACCGTACCCAATCCCTATAATCTCCTCAGCGAGTTAAATCCGTCAAGAACTTGGTATACTGTTCTGGATTTAAAGGATGCCTTTTTCTGTTTGCCTTTACACAAAGATAGCCAGCCCTTATTTGCATTTGAATGGACGGACCCTGAGACTGGGTCCGCCGGACAACTAACCTGGACGCGCCTCCCACAGGGCTTCAAAAACAGCCCAACCATCTTTGATGAAGCCCTACATAAGGATTTAGCCCCCTTTCGGGCTCAACACCCAAGCCTCACCCTTCTTCAATATGTAGATGACTTGCTGCTGGCTGCGGACTCTGAGGGTGACTGCACAAGCGGAACTCAGGACCTTTTACGTGAGTTGGCTATCCTGGGGTATAGGGCATCAGCAAAAAAGGCTCAAATTTGTAAGCAAGAGGTAATTTTTCTGGGCTACTCCTTAAAAGGGGGAAAAAGGTGGCTCACTGAGGCCAGAAAACAGACTGTGGTCCAGATTCCCCCTCCAAAGAGTCAAAAACAATTACGAGAGTTCCTGGGCACTGCGGGGTTTTGCCGGTTATGGATCCCCGGATTCGCAACTTTGGCAGCTCCCCTATATCCGTTACTGAAGGGGGGATCTCCCTTTATCTGGAAAAAAGATCACCAGCAGGCCTTTGATGCCATCAAGCGGGCTCTCCTGTCCGCTCCGGCCCT